CAATTGCAGTGATAAAAAATAACAAGAACGATTGAAACAACACAAACGACGAACAGACTAAATATGGCAAAGTCGACGTCGACTTTCGACCAAAATCGACTTTTTATTCCTGAATTTTATATTACGTTCAGACCGACAACGAAAACACTTTGAAAACGAGTTTAGGCATTTTGGGCTGAAGTCTGTTGATACTGGTTGTTAGTGTTTTCGTTGAGATTTCTTACATATTTTGCATACAGTTTTGCCACACAAACAAAACCAAAACACTTCCCCCTGACATTCTTCACATTTACAAACTTTAACATTCATTCCTTTTTTACCTTGGCCAGCCAATTGACAATAAATCCGAAATGGCGTATTAAAGATTATAAAATATGACTTCCACTTCGATAGATAATCGAAAAAAACCAGTGAAGACATGGATCGGAATGAGTGGAACGTGAGTTTTCAAGTAGTTTTCTCCGAAAACTGGGCCTCTTTTGACAGATTTTACATGGACGAAAACATTTTTTCGATGTCGGTCAGGACATGGTATAAAACTTATATTTTCGTCAATGTAAAATCTTCGAAATGAAACCCAGTTTTCGCTGAGAACTACTTGAAAACTCACTTTCCACTCATTCCGGTCGGTGTCTGCACTACTTTTTTCGATTATTTATCTTTAATATGCAATTTTGGTTTTATTGTTAAAGCTGATGCCATATAAAACATTGTGGCCTGTAGTCATAGGGAAGTTAGGTCGGTGTTATGCAGAAATTTTGTTCGGCAAACTACGTGCAATTGTTATTGCAGCAAACTCGGAGAGAGCGAGTTTGGCGACTCTCACAACAAACTAATATTGTTTGCTCAAACTGCATCAAATTCGATGTTGTCATATACAAACATTGTAGACAATTGTTTACAATTGACAAATGTTCTTCTTTTGCCTGGAAACCGCCTGGAAGCTACCTGGAAAGTACCTGTCAAAATGTATAAATATCCCATGAACGAAAGACATTTAAGGCTGATTCACATACAACTTTCTTCGCTTTGCTTGATAGTTCTTTGCTTTGACATATAAGATCGATGTAGGCATATGCATGAGTATGCTCACATAAAAAACGTTTGAAGCAAAGCAAAGCAAAACCAAGCAAAATCTTGGGCAACTCTCAACTTTTGCCCGCTTTGGCAATCAGCTGTCTACATTTATCTTTTCTTGTGCGCTTGCATTTGCATTTAATGACAAAAATAGGGTAAATAGGAATTTTTATTGCTATTATTAATGCATATTATATATTGCTATCAATTTGACAGATAAAAAATTTGGAGGAAAAGGAGAACACAAAAGCTGTCAAAGCGTTTATTGCGGCATAACTTCTGCGTTTCGCGCTTTGTGGTCAAAGTTTGAACTGTCAAGCAACGCGAGGAAAGATGTATGTGAATGGCCCTTTATATTTTTGGTTCATGAAAATATCCTGCCAAAATGTTAGACAGGGTGTTTAAAGTGATGTAAAAAAGGCAAAAGTTATTAAAATAAAGTAAAAGATTGGCAAAATATGCATTTAGTTAAATGGATTCCTGCATTTGTATGCCATTTTAGTATTTTGCGGCGTTTTGGTCAATAACTATTACAGTTAATAGAACTTTTTTGCTGTTTTTGTCAGAGTCTGTTTAAAGTTTTTTTTTTAGATATTAGTGTAACCCTGTAGCAAATAAAATCAGGTGATCTCAGCTGTGAGGCATTAGTGCAACACATCTGATTCTTTTTTTATACCATGTTCTGACCGACAACGAAAACACTTTGAAAATGAGTTTTGGGATTGTGGGCTGAAGGCTGTTCACACCGGCTGTTAACGTTTTCGTTCACATTTCTTACATCTTTTGATTACAGTTTTGCTACACAAAAACAGAATCTGAATACTTTTCCTTCAATTTCTTTTCATTTACAACCTCATCCTTTCATTCTTATACTATGTTCTGATCGACATCGAAAACATGTTTTCGTTGCTAAAACTGGTTTTCGACTTAAAACTTGTGTTTTCGTCCATGTAAAATATGTCAAACGAAAATCAGTTTTCGCTGAGACCTAAAAAGCGCGGAACGTCTGAAAAGCTTGTTGAGGAATTGTACTCTAACTGTGCTCAGCTGATGGCTTGACTTTCAAGTTTCCTCACGACTTGAAAAGAAAAACTTATGTCAAGTCGACGTTCAAGTTCTAAAAGTGCGAGTGTGTTACGGCCCGTCTCTACAGGAAAAAGTTTTTGCCTACCAACTGTAATTTTTATTGCGTGAAATAAATTTTATCAGAGGCAAATATATGTGAATTTTTTATCTTGATAAAGGCATTTGTAAGATGGGTTTTTGCCGGATTTAATCACTTAAAGAATTTAGAAAATTTTATGTTTCACATCCAAGTAAATAATAGCAAATATTTTAATAGAAAGCAGCTAATTTTTTGTTTGAATATAATATGTTACCGCCACGAGCTTACCGCGCAAATGAAAATGTAGCTGTCAAAGTAAAAAATTGCTGGCAATATTTATCAAGATAAGGGTTTTGATATGATATTTGTGGCCTTCATTGGCAAACTATTCCTGATAACATAATCAAGATAAAAACTTTTGCCTGTGGAGAAAGCAAGTTAGTAAAAAGTGTAAGTGGATTGCAACTTGCTTTCAAGTTCTTGATACGTGTATCCTCCAAATTACCGCACGATGTAGCGTACAAAGGTGGCGCATTCCGTAAACCTCTACTGCCAATTTCGAAAACTTTTTTATTTCGGTGTCTGCTGTTTTCTTCCTTCTGTAGATGGTTGCCAGTCGTAAGTTTTTCAGTTGGTAAAAAAGTTATAAGTTCCTATTCAAAATACGTGTAAATTATTTGAAATTTACTATCGAATGAGGTTTTTTGTTGAAAAATAAGTAGTTTATATTTAGCTAGCATCTATTATAGCACGAAAAATTTTAGTTGAAAAGGTAAGTTTATGAAAAGGCATTGATGAGTGGCAGCACTGCAGTAAACAACACTGAGGGCTCCAGTAATCGACAAAATTCTGCGTATATAGACAGCGTTTAAGTATAAGTTCTGCGTTCTTGACTAATTTCACCTTAAGTCGCTTTGAGAAATAATTTCAACTTGCCAGGAGCAAGCAATTTTCATTTCTGATGAAAGTGCCGTCAAACCAATCGAGTGTTGCCCTGTCACATGGCAATTCCCAAATTTATGGGATATGCTACTCCCTGGGAGTTAATTATTGGAGGATGTCTTTCTCGGGAAAAACAAACTCCAGGAGAACAAACACCAGGGAGTATGAAGAATTGTAAAGATATTCAGGCCGATTCTACGATAAACGGCGGAGTCGACCTGTCAACTCCAAAATTTTCGGGGAAAATGCTACTCCCTGGGAATTAATTATTGGGGGATTTCTTTCTCGCGAGAAACAAATTCCCGGAGAACAAACTCCCCGGAAATATTAAGAATTGGGCTGATTGAATAAAATGTTAGAAACCGTTTGATTATTTTATTCTCTACTAATATGAAGTATTAATGCATTCGACATTTCGTGGCTGTTTTGTGCATATTTTAGTATTTGAAGTAAATTTTTCAAGTAGAATAAAAAAAATGCTAAAATACGCACAAAATACGCATATATGTATTTAAATAGCCGTCTTCAGTGCTTGAAAATCACGCTTGCGCGAAGAAGCATGTGAGATCCCGCACATGAACCAAAAATACAAGATCACGCCTTCTTCTTAGTAGCCTGTTATAATCGCATTTAGGAAAAAAGTTGGGTGACTTTGACATTAGCCGTTTGTTTACATTTGTTCGTTGTTTACAATTTGGTGGTGGCTTTTTACTGCAATTTTCTTAATTTTCGCTTGTGACAACGTGTGCACACATAAGGTAAAGAATAATTTAATACAACGACATGATTTATAGAAGAATTTGCATAATAAAAATGATTATTCATGCGTTCAACAATTACGCGGTTTTTTTGTTCTCTGCGTTGTTTATTTCTTCCAACAAAGATGGCGTCGAGATTTCAACAGCTAGAAAATAACTTTTTTCTTTCTTTCGGGATGGCGTGATCTTGTGTCTTTCGTTCATGGTTCCCGCACATGTAGACCGCAAAAAGTACGAACCGAGCGGTTTGCGGGCTCTCGCTTGCTTTCAACAGTCAGCTATTTTCTCATTCCGTAAAATTCTTTGAAGCAGCGTCACACGGCAACATTCGAATGGATTGGCAGCACTTGCAGCAAAAACGAAAATTTGCATTTGTGCAGCACGAGGAATTTGAAATTATTTCTCGAATTCAATTTGCGTAATTTCAGTTGCAGTTACATCTTGCAATTTTTATTTCCGAAAGTGATTTTTGCAGTTCTGCAAAAAGGATTTTTGTGTGTTTACGCGTGCAACTAAAAGAGCCTGTCAGACGTGGCAATATTTCTTTCTTTCGCACGCAATTCGCTGTCAAATTGAGAAAGAGAAATTTTATTTCGATGTGTGAACAGCCAGAAAGATCTTTCTGTCACCTTTCGGAAATCAGTTTCAGAAATAAAAGTTGCATGGTGGGACTGCAACAGCAAGAGCGAAAATCGATTTCGGAAATATATTTCAACTTGCTCGTGCTGCACTAGCAATTTTTATTTCTTCTGCAAGTGCTGTCAAACTAATCGAGTGTTTCCGTGTGGCCCTGATCGTGAATTTGTGTAAAATGATAAAAAATATTGTTGAATTAAATATCAAAAATGCTTGAAATATATTATTTTGTTTAATATACTTAATCGTTAAATTATTGTTTACACGACAAAAACGTTAATTATAACCTATATTTTCTCGCTTTTGCAAGAGAAATAGCAAACAAACGACAACCCCACCGCCCATGGTTGCATTTTAGTATCGAGAAAGATTGCCAGAAACTCATTCGCTGTGAGAACAGCCAAAAAGCGATTTCAGAAATTTTTCCTGCAATTCGCCTTTCGGAAATAAAAACCTCTTTCGAAAGACACTTTCCATGCAAGGTGTGACTGCTCATGCAACTGATTTCTCAATTTGACAGCCTTTCCGAAATTCATTATATTATCTGACACGCTCTAAACTTTCGCTTTCGCATTTCGGAAGCAAAATCCGTAGAAGCATTTCAATTTTTAACCGCACCCTTAACAGCTACTCTAAAAAATTAAAACTGCCGCGTGCAAACGATGTGTAAGTAGAAAGTGATCAAAACACAAGCGACCGGACTTTATAGATGTTTGTTGTTTGTTTGGAAATTGCATTTTAACAAATTGTTGATAGATTTGAAAATAAAAGCGATTGTACCTCCAAATACCCAGGCAATATGAATAAAAAAACGTTTGCTAACCTAATGAGCATTGAGAAGAAAGCATTTGAAAAGAATGTGGAAAACTATCGAAGGTTGCTGTTAAACGATGAAAACGCCAGACCAATTAACCGAGCAATAAGCATTCAAACAGTTAAAGTTGAAACCATCTCAGACGAGGAATCATCGGATGAAGGCGCTACACCACCGAAGATGATGTTGAATTCTTTTGAAGGTAAAGTTGCAATAATTGAAGGAAATGCCGTTTAAAGGCCTACGAGATGCAATTATTGAATCACATTTGTACTATAGCAAATCCAACATTTGGGAAAGTGGCCGATTATCCGCGTATAGGAAGCGTTACTGCCAATGATCATTCAACAGCGAATTCACGTAAATATAAAAACGCCACACCCATCAAACGAGCAGTAAACACTTCCTCTGCAGGTAAATTTGAAAATGACGAAACCATAACATCATTGAAACGGGTGCAGAATTCTGTAGAAGGTAAAGTTGCAATCATTGAAACAACATGTTCATACATATACATTTGTTAACGGAATTCTATTATTTAATGAAGCTGGTTCCATAGTGACTCCAATGGCATTAAATTCTTCAGGTACATGTGGATTGGTAGTAGATCCTCAGCATGTGGAACATATTGTTTCGAAGGATTCTAATGCAGGTATTTCCAAATTGTATTAATAAAAAATTTGTATGCATATGTCACATCTAGTAATTTTACAGAAGTTGTCACTCTATTAAAAGCCATTATAGATCAACAAAATAACTTAGCTGTGTATATGACTAACTTGGACACACGCTTAAGGAATTTGGAAGACTGCGTAGAATATATGAGAACATATTGCACAGGAAATGTAAGTAGCGAAGCGTATGAAATGCATGGATGTGAAGTATCAAACTGTCCCATTGAGAATTAAACGAAAATAGCTGCGTTCTAAAAGGAAATATACTTCTGATAGCAATTATTACAAGGATCTTTGTCTAAACTGTTTTTCAACTAGACCAACATTAATTTCTACGGTAGAAAATGCCTTGCATCCATGCATTTACTCCTGCTGAAAAACTTTTAATTAAGTTGCATATGTATGTACAAACATATTCTTGTTTAAAATACAAGACCGCGTAACTGACAATTGTGCCAAAAGTGAGATTTGGTCACCGGCAGCTCCTAGCATCAAGCCTTATTAATTCATTCCAAAATATCGACTTATAAAACTAGCCTGGAAAATAGACAGCTGTCTTATTTTTAACTTACTTTTAAACCTCAATTTGTAGACTTAATACTTCTATTTTCAGTCTAGCACACAATCTGAAGTAATGCTTCAAGACAAAACGCCAAACAATAGAAAGGTAACTCTAAAAGTCACCAAATCAGACCCACTGGCTGAAGTTGTTACTATGTTGCCATTAACAACGATTAAATCGGCAGATGAATTTGAAGAAAAGCTGTCTAACAAAGAATGTCTGCAGTCAATGGTTGGTGAATGAAAAATTTTCATACATACATACATAACTTTACCTTAATTTAGAAAGGCTCTGTTTAACATTTTTGCTTCTTTACATGGTTTTACAATTTTTGGAAACTTAAGTTCTGCAGTTGCGAATTTTCCATACACTGGTTTTTTATAAACACTGAAACTAGGTCCCTAGTAAGTAGTCTACTGATGTTTGTGCACATCTGAATTTCATAAGAAAATGAGTTAAGGCCTTTCTATATTAAGATAATATATTCTATTTCACATACAGTATCGGTCATATCTATAGCACGCCATTTCAAAGTGATACTGTGTGCAACTTATGTTTATTTATTTATTTTTAAGAATTTTCAATTAAAATACAGTTCTTTCACTAACAAACCCCACATAAACCCAAGTTTAACAATTGGTAGAAAACTTCAAAAAAGTGCAACAA